TCCATACGACAACTCAGGATGCAACAAGAAATGCGACTTGATTTTTATGCACATGCATGTGGTACCAACGGAGCAAAACTTCCAACTTAATAATCTTCCAATTAATAGAGGCATCAACAAGGCATAAGCCTTAAACTTAATATTTTGCCAATCCAGGCCAACTTGACGAGCATCAGCTCCAACTTTATATGCGGTGTATGCGACACAACATGAATGTAGCAACAACAACAACAAACAACAACTCAACATAAATCAACGTTGACCATAAGCCTATAACATCAATAACAATTCAATATCAACTCAACATAATTCAACTTTATCCATAAGCCTATAACATTAACAACAATTCAACATCAACAATAATTCAACATCAACTCAACATAATTCAACTTTAGCCATAAGCATATAACATCAACAACAATTCAATATCAACTCAACATAATTCAACTTTGTCCATAAGCCTATAACATCAACAGCAATTCAACATAAACTCAACATAATTCAACTTTGGCCACAAGCCTACAACTTATCTACCAAGAACTAGAGGCATTTCAACAACGTCGATATATCCTGCAACTTTGCATCGTCAACAATATTGACATTACAACAACATAGTAAAATTCACAAGTACAATCGAAACCCATTGCAATAACACTACATAATTATTCAGCTATACGTCTATATTCAGCTATTAGACATTCTGCGATGATTCCTCTAATATTAACCCACTGCAATTATTATATAAGCTAGTACTACTATCAACAATTTCTACTACTGCTAGTGCTACTAATTAATTCTCTACTGTTATTTTATTGCTATTAGCTTTCTGTTACTATTTTACAATTAACTCTTACTGTCAACTTATTCCTGCCACATGTACTATGCTATTATACAGTTAATAGTTTTCTGATAAGGTTCGTGCAATTATATCTTACTACTATGAATTATCTCTTACTACCATGAATTATCTATGCTATTGTTTTATTGTTAATCACCTACAACTTAGCTTTAGCCAATCAATACATGCAACACAACAAAATTCATCACTATTAACTACTATAATGTCTTTCTGCTACATTATATTTTATTGACTACTAGTTACTTTTGCTAAAATATTAACTAAACAGTTTTATTTTATTTTTCCTTAATCTGTATGTACTTCAATTGTAATCTGACCATAATTATTTTAGGGCTGAATTATGCTACAACAATATGTGGATCAGGAACTAAAGAAAACACTAAAGTGGCCTAAAGACGGTGGCACTCGCCACATAGAACACCATGTCCCTCAACACTGTTACACTTTACATGCGTGCCTCTCGACAGGTCCAACTGTGCCCCTCAGCACACTCAATGTTGTGTCGCTCGACACCCACCTGTGTCCCTCAGCATAGTGTGTTTTGACCTTTCACACAGACTTCGTCTGTTCTGTCACCAACGCTAAACTAGAATTCAGTATTCTCCTCGATCACTAATTTCAGACCATGGAACATCATAGCAACATGACAACTATATCAGCGATATTATAATTTCCAACAATACATAGTTAATTCTGCAAACAATTCAGGAACATCCACAACATGATAACAACATGATAACATATAATTTCAGAAACAGAAACAACAACCATACGCACAACAACATTACACAAACACAATTCATAAATACTACTCATCACAATTCCCATTATAGAGTCAGAACCCCACCATTACTTCGGATTGAAGGTCGCTCTATAATTATCCGATCGAACCTAGCTTTGCCTCTTTTCCTTTTTCCTTTTCTCTCTAACTTCTCATGTACTGCTCTAAGACTTTTCTTCTCCTTTCTAATTAACCTGATTTCTTATTATCATAACTAAACCTAATAATAATATTATTATTCCTAATGGGCTTAACAACACATCCTCTATATTACTACTTATAACCCTTAAAATAGGACCAACCATAAATATTCTTATATCATCTTAATATTATTAATATTCTACAATTCTAATATTATTACTAATATTACTGCTAATATTAATCAACTAAAATAATCATCCAAATAACAACTTAGCAACATATAACAACATTTCACACATTTCAACAAATAATTTGAAAATAATTTAATTAAATAATTAATTAAATTATCGGGCGTTGCAGGTGCTCGTAACACGCGTTACGGCCCGTAATGGATCCCGAACTGGATACACGCTCCCGATACAAAAGTCTGTGGCCTGTTACAGGTGCCCGTAACACACCTTACGGCCCGTAACATGAGTGCGAAAACTCAATATTTTTGTTTCCTTTCTCTGATGACTTTGTCTCTGATCTGGGGTTTCTGACTTTCATGATTAGGCTGAAACATTGTATAGGGCATTGATGATTTGGATTTTTATGTTTTATTTGAGTATTATAAAAATCTCTTGACAAGGGATTTTGATGGATCGAAGTTTTAGCGTATAATTTTTACTTTTATGCAATTTCAATTTCTTTGTAAAAGTCTCCTTGGAGCAAGTGATCCTAATTTTAATCTATTACAAGTGTTATTCAGGTTCTATTTTATTGGCTTGCTTTATTTATTATAATTGTTATTTCTATAGTGGTTGTGAATCAAAGAATTACTTTGTTTGTTTTGTTCCTCACCATGAGTGAGTAGTTCCTTAGGGATTAAGGGTCATGAGACCTAACTCATTACTATATGTATGGTTGTTTCTATATGATACAAGGATTAAAACTCGATATTATTTTAAAAATCTGAGTTTTTATTTAACTTCGTTACGAAAGTAAAAAGTTCTTAGGTATCGATAACGTTCCAAAAGGACTTGTATCGATACCCGAAAATAGATTTTTAAACAATCAAATCTGATGATAAGAAAGTACTCGGAAGGGATTGAGAAATGTCTCATTATAATAGACTGCGTAATAATAACGAGGTTTCGATAAATGATTTTGAGTAATCGAAAGCTGACGAATTATTTATCGAAATCAAGATAACATGCTGGCGAAAGCTGTTAGAGAGAGATTATTAGGAGCATTTATACATAGTGTAGGAACAAGCACCTTTGAGAGAGACACACCACTTCTCCACCTAAAACCTTAAGGTTTTAGGTGGAGAAGTGGTGTGTCTCTCTCAAAGGTGTTTGTTCCTACACTATACATCAATGCTCCTAATAATCTCTCCCCAACATGGTATCATGAGCCTTTAGTTCGAGAAAGGGACCGGAAGGAACTTGTATCGAAATTCGCTCAAGAAGTTGTGCAGTACAAGTGGGGGAGCATTGTGGACTCACACTTGAGGGGGAGTGCTAAAATAATATAGTAAGTGTGAGTAAGTGGGGAAATAGTCCCACATTGAATAGGAATGTGGAGACTTAAGCATATATAAGTGGGAGAACCCACTCACCTATCACCTTAAGGTTTTAGGTGGAGAAGTGTTGTGTCTCTCTCAAAGGTGCTTATTCATACGCTATGTATCAATGCTCCTAATAATCTCCCTCCTTCCTACACTATGTATCAATGCTCATAATAATCTCCCTCCAACAAAAGCATGTGTTATCTGTAAAATCTATTTTTCTATAATTCGCGTCGAAATCCTTGTAACAAGATTAGTTTGACCATATAGAGATGTTAAAGTAAGGGATTATGACCCTAAATCCGGTTTGTCTAATTTAATCCCAACTTATTTGCATTTAAGTTGTTTCAAAAAGTGCTTTTGAAAATAAGTTGTTTTGACTTAAGTGTTTTTTTACGTAAGTTTGTCTGCTTCTAACTATTTGATTGGTCTAGCTTTACAATGATACAATAGAAATCAGTACTTAACCATTGATCATTGTGGTTCGATAACTCTTTTTAATACTTTGACACTTATTGTACGCTTGCGACCTGTCTAATTTTTGACGTCGTTGCCGAAGACCGATTACATTAATATTGAAATTCTATTCGATCACCATAGAGACTAGAGTTTTATTTTTCTTTTTATGCAAAGAACGCGTTTGACTGACACTTCAGTCAAATCCATTAACGATCTTGAGCGTCTCATACGAAAAATGGTATCTTTCATCTATTTTTAATATTATAGTTTTATAAGATTACAAAATCAATCTTTGTTTTTATAAGAGGAGTTTTTATAAGAGGAGGAAGACGATGATAAAAATAATAAAGGATGGAGGAAAATAAATTGAGGGTGGGAGAATTTAGAAGATGGAAAATTAAATTTAAAATTCAAATTAAGTGAAAATAGGGTGAAGAAATAGAGATGGTAAATTTAGATTTTCACTCTTTTATATATTTTTGTTTTAATTTATTTTTTTTCCGAACTTTTGTGAATATTGACATTAATAAAAAAAATTATAATTTTTAATTTTTAAAGAGATAAGGTTCGTGTGTCGGCGTTATCCCATTCTCATTTTTTGCAGAAAGATCAAAATTTTAAATTTGTACCATCAATTATCTACTTATCTACTCGTTCTATTATATTTTTCAACTAATATTTGCGTAACAAATTTAAATAAGCCTTTGGTGTATCCTTTTGCTATCCCCATGAAGAAGTCTTATTAAATATGTGCCCAAATCAATGTTGCTAGCATATGAAAAAGCAAACAAATTTTATCAACTTAAAGTCTAAAATAAATATAAAGAATGGAACGTGCAATTTAGTGCATTACATTGCATGTCATGTCCCTTTTTCTCTTTAGTTTTCTAAATCCTAATTTCATTATATCATTATTAGAAATTAAAAAATATATTGTAATCTTAAACAAAACAAAAAAAAAATTAAATAGTAATCGTGAGCCATAATTATATAACCATGCAAAGAGAAAGATATGGCATGCAATTGCAAATAACCAGAAGCAACCTCCATAACTGAAATTAAAATCCAATTTACAACAATGCCACCGTATTCTCAGTTCCTTTTTCAATCAATCTTGAAAATAACAACTTCTTAACTAACTTCCACACCTTCTCTCTTTCCCCTTCCTCTCTTTCTCTCTCTTCTCTCTCACTCCACACACAACAACAATGGCGAAGGTGAACCTCGACGGCAAACCAATCACTCCGGTGTCAATATGCATGATCGGCGGCGGAGGATTCATCGGATCACACCTATGCGAAAAGCTAATGTCCGAAACTTCTCACACAGCCATAGTCATCGATGTTTCCTCCGAGAAAATCAATTATCTTCTCGATAAGTCTCTTCCCTGGGCCAAACGTATCGAGTTTCATCACATGAACATCAAGAACGATTCGCGCCTTGAGACTCTCGTCAAAGCCTCCGATCTCGTATTCTTTCTTCTTCATCTTCTTGTTTTTCAATTTTCTGGTTTTTTTGTTTCTTTTGAATTTTCAATAATTTTGAATGATGTTCTTTGTGCTGTAGACTATCAATCTTGCTGCGATTTGCACGCCGGCGGATTATAATACCCGGCCGTTGGATACTATTTTCAGTAATTTCATTGATGCCATTCCGGTGGTCAGTTTTTTGTTTATGCTTTTTGAAGATACTCTTTGATGAATCATGTTTCGAGGAGTATTGTAATTGTTGGTGTAATGATTCATGCAGATTAAATTTTGCACTGAGAATAACAAGCGTTTGATTCATTTTTCTACTTGTGAGGTCTTTGGGAAGACTATAGGTAGCTTTCTGCCTGAGGAATATAGAAAGGTACCTGATGAACAAATAAAATTCGGGCTTAGTTGGATTGGATGCTTATTTTTCAAAGTTAATCATTTGGTTTATCTGAATTATTTTCTGCTTTTATTTCAATTAATGTAAAACTGTCTGATAGCGTGAAAACGGCCATGAGAAAATGATATCGAAGGTGACGATATCGATATTGTTATTTACCGTTTTTATGATGAAAAATAAATTGTGGTTAATTCATACTGCGACGATCATAATCAGTATCGCAATACATGTACCAATTGAAACTGCGAAAGCTTTTACGTGACCGCGACCTCGGCCGTTATTTAAGACCTTGGTCACTACTATTAACTAAGAACTATTTAGTTTTCATTTTATGAGTTAGTTTATGTGAATTGGTTTTAGGTACTTACCAAAGTTAGGGAGTGCATACATATTATAAAGAAATCATAAATCATATCATATATAGTGAACATAATCAATCAAATGTCATTTTCTTATATTTGTTTCTATAGTTAACACAAATTTGCATGATGCAGGAACCCCAATATTACATGCTCAAAGAAGATGTGAGTCCATGTATTTTTGGTCCAGTTCAGAAACAAAGATGGTCTTATGCATGTGCAAAGCAAATGACAGACAGGTTAATTTATGGTAAGCAAAGACTGTTTTTCTTTTAATTGTGATATAGGAAGCATTGATCTAGATACCAGACACAATACTAACACTAACTCGTTGCTAACACATTGGTGACGGTATTAATTTTGATAAAATAGAAGTAATTGAACGGAAACACATTTTTGTGCCGTGTCATTGTCAGTAGAGATGTCTTCGATCTGGCTATGTTACGTAGTTGATAGTTATTATAAGATTTTCTTCTTCTACTTATTAACTTACTCTTGAATATTAATCTAAAGCTGAGCATGCTGAGAATGGCCTGAAGTTCACTATTGTGAGACCTTATAACTGGATTGGACCAAGAATGGACTTCATTCCTGGTGTGGATGGCCCGAGTGACGGTGTCCCCAGAGTTTTAGCTTGTTTCAGTAATGTAACATCAGCTAGCTTCTTCTCTTTCTTGTTCATTTCTTCATGTTTTAAAATATGCAAACCACTGTTTTTCTTAAAGTTTCTTGTTCCAGAATCTCCTTCGTGGTGAGCCGCTCAAGCTTGTTGATGGCGGACGTTCCCAGAGAACCTTTCTCTATGTCAAAGATGCAATTGAGGCTGTTTTGTTAATGATTGTAAGTTGAGAAGTGAACCTTCCTCTTTCACATTGAGCTTGGACTAATGTATATGCTATCCTGCCACATACAGGATAACCCTGATAGAGCAAATGGACACATCTTTAATGTGGGAAACCCGGACAATGAAGTATCTGTGAAGCAACTAGCTGAGCTTATGATAAAGGTAGCTTATAAAATTGTCTTAAGATAAGTTCATGACTTAGTTTTTCAAGAAAGAGAGAAAAAAGTTTTGGCTCATTTTGTGTCTTCATTTAGGTATATGCAAAGGTGGCTGATGTACCTGCCTCTAGTCTATCAACTCTGGATGTGACTTCAGAGGATTTCTATGGAAAAGGCTATGATGACAGTGATAGGCGCATCCCTGACATGACAATTATCACTAAGCAGCTTGGTATTCTGTCATTAATTCTTTTGAATCTATGCTATAATGTTTGTTTGGAATCTCAGTGAGTTTGAAGAAATCATAATCATGGTAGCACCGTAATTTTGTTGAAGTTTTGAAGTGTAGTTTTTGTCAAAATTACTGACTTGGTTACACACCATAATCATGTCAAATTCACCCTGAATCCAAACATGCATGTATTAGTCTGCAAAATTTGACATTCTTCTTATTGTTTATTCTACTGAGGTTAGGTTGGAAGCCAAGGACATCACTTGATGAACTGTTGGATTCTACCCTTCAATATCAACATCAGACATATTCTCATGCTATCAAGAAAGAACTCGCAAAGCCTTCAACTTGAAGAACTTCAAATTGAATTGGAGATTCAGTTCACTTCTAATTTTTATGTAAACATGTCACTGCCATGATGAGGCAATCTGACAAATGTATATGATACACTCATTGTGAGGTCTAGATCACAAGTCTAGTGTATATCTATAGTCATATATCTTCAGTTAATTCTTCCTGTAACTTTTTGAATGGAAATTCTTCTCTTTTTTTGTCTTTTGGAGTTACAGCACTTATCTTCTTTATAACAGTGGTAAAACGTTTCATTATTTTAATTAGTCTCTAGTTGGCAAAACAGAACTCTAGTTTGCAGGGTTTTCTAACTAGCAATTGATGAAAATTTAACCAAACTTAATATGGAGGCAACTCAAAAAGCTTGTTCTGCTTCATAATCTAAATCAAACTTAAAACAAAGTATTCAGAAAGAAAAGTACAAAGTTACAAGAAAAGAAACTGATTAGAAGTGATGTTTGTCTTCTAGTTATGACAGAAATAATGCAGCAGAACCTAAGCAACGCCAACTATGTAAGCATTCCAAGAATCTTGTTGCTGAAAACTTGTTGTTTCTTCATATTTTATATCCTTTCCTGCTCCAAATCCTTCTGTTCTTGTAATTTCCGTGGTGTCTGGCATTTCTCGAACCCAAAAGTGAACAGATCGAAATCCAGCCTCTTCTAAGCAATCCCTTATCTCAGGCAATGTCCATCTAAATAACACATTATAATGTTAGAATCGGAAAATTCGTTAATGAATTGAAGGAAAGCAAACAAAAAAAAAACAACTTACAGCCGCCAGCTGTATGAAAACGCATGGCGAAGCTTTCTTTGTTCCTTTTTCAGATGAAAATGAAGACTAATCCTTGTTTTCCGTTGAATAATATCGAATTCAGCTTGCTCCCATACATACTGCAGATTTTGAGTTGAGAAAGGTCAGAAAGTGGTAAAATTTATGGATAATGGGGCAACAAAGTTAAATTTGAGTTGAGGATCTATCAAAAATCTTATACCGTAAAATTAGGAAATCTTCTTTGAAGCTTCAACTTGTTCTCTGAAGATGTACCTCCATATAAATCCATCACGAAAATTCCACCTTTTGTTGACAAGGCATCACGAACATGCTTGAAATACAAGACTAGATCAGCGCGTTTATGGAGACAACAACAGCTATAGTTAAATGCACACACAATATCTCTTCCGCTCATTGGAAAGTTTTTCGCAGCTAACTTATCATCTTGAGTAGCAGAGCTTGTTGGGACATCCGACTCAAGCACATCGACCTGCAGGTTGTCTGTATTCTGTGACAGCGAAATGTTCCTTACCAACTCCTCAGGATCCATTTCCACAAGTTTTGACTGAAGAGGTTCTAAAACATTCCCATGAAAGAGAGATATTCTAGAAAACCCATCAGCACCGATTTTAGGTATATTGTTCTCCAAGCACCAAGTAAGTGCTTCAAGATCCAAATCTAATCCGATAGCCGTCTTTCTTGGATCACTGCGGAGCCATTCTGTACTGGCATACATAAGTCATTGCAAGATAAGTTGATCAGGATTGAATGCACTGATAATGATGACAACAACAAGAATAGAATGAGAGAATGTTTCTCGAGAATGTACCTAAGAAACGCAGTGCCGCAGAAATCTTCTTGAAGATGAAGGGGCACCCTTCCACCAACATACATGAGAAAGAACTTCTGCAAATAACTAATGTCACCTTTGGGAGACTGCAATAACAAAAAACCTGATTAAAAAAAGCCACATAAGTAGTTATATGTTAAGTTCTTTTTCTAAAAGCACTTAATTAAGGTGGTCATCCAAACAAGGCCTAATTTTGATTGTTACTAAACTAAATTAAAAACAAAAAAAAAGAAACAAAATCTAAAAAACAGAAACCTGGACAGATTGTTGGTAAAGGAGGAATTTTGAAGGCAAATCATGTGATGGGTGTTGTTCATTGTTGTTGTTGTCGTCGTCGGAATCAGCGTCTTCTATTACTTCTTCTTCTTCATCATCGTTGTTAGTGGGTGAAAGAGTTGAAGTAGAAGAGTCATTGTCTTGAAGATAGTAATCTCTTCCTCGTTGAGTTCTGTCGTGTTTCTGCTTATGCTTCTCTCGCTTTCCCATTCCGCCGCTATAAACCAAAACCCCTACTACCACTACCACCGTTTAACGCCAATAGAGTTAATACCATGTGGCAGTCTCGTATTTTACATTTACTAATTTTTATTTTAAGTAATAATTTCTTATTAATTTTAAAATTATATTTTGTTTGGATGTCTTAAAAATAACCAAGTGGAATAAAAAAAATCAATTGCAATGAATCAAAATGGTACCTTGATTATTTTATTTATCACGACAAGTTTTTCTTTACGTGTAAATTGGGAAACAAAATGTGATGCTGTACTTTTTTTTATCACAATAAAATTAATATATTTTATTTTAATTAAATGATGTTCAATATAACGTGAAATTGATAATAACGAATTGCGTTGAGACTAAAAATTGGTTGTTCTCGTGAATGCCAATAAAATTTATGTTGTTTTACTAAGAATTGCCCTCGCGAGTACCAGTAAAGTTTACGTTGTTTTTCTAAGAATTTCGAAGAATTAATTATATGTTTTTTTTGGATTAAATATACAATATTTCCTCGTAACTTTTAATTCTTTTAAAACTTTCGGATTGTGATTATCATATTGCAATAAAGATTTTCTCTACTGCTTGTGTGGTAATTTTTTATTTTTTAATTATTTTTTTAATTTATATTATTTTTATTTTATTTTTTAAAAAACTTTTTATTTATTTATTTTTTAAATTTTTTTTAATTTATAATATTTTTAATCCAGATTATTATTCTTTTTCTTATTATTCCATCCGTTTCAAAATAGATATCGTTTAAGATTTTCATACAAATTAGTAAAAGATTCGTGCGTTCGCACGGGTCGTACAATATTGTATATAGTATGGAAAGTAGAACATATAATATAGATATTGATTAAACTTACATTACATTAAGATTGAAACTAAAAGATTGATGTTGATCTTGTGAAATAAAAACACAGAAGCATATAATAAATTATGTTAAAACAAACATAACAACATTAATGGGATAAAGAAAAATTAATCGGAGTTATCATTTATTACATATTTCACTTTGTTCTTTCTCACATGTTTAACGTAAAATGTCTTAGAATCAGATAGGTAATGAAAAATCATGAGATTTCCAACATTTAAGTTTCTTGAATTTGCACACTCATACCAACCATTTCCAAGATACATCTCAATATGTGGCCTTTTCTCCTTAAGAATTTTACAATTCTGGGGTTGCATTTCATCAATATCCATTAATGTTAAAGTAATATGGTCAGCACAGAAATCTTTACTAACAATATCAGCTGGAATATTCTACAAAAACTAAATGTATTGTCAGTTGTCGTTCAATAAATATGAATTATAAAACAAATGAAAAAATAATTTCGTAAAAATTTCGATAAATATATAGAATGATATATCACCATGCAATTTTTTCCTCCCTTATAAGATTTTGTGATTTCTTTCTTCCAAAACAATTCAACATTGTAACCTAAACTGTTGGGGTGGTGATTCTGAGCTCCTCAACTATCATCTTTGTCCATAGGTACTGCAACATCTTTGTCCATTACTACCTCTTTTGTATGTAAGTAAATATTGCACAAACAAAAAAGAATTGTTATTAATAAAATTGGATGGAAAAAGATTTGTAGTGACTATAAACAAATTGTCAATACTATAATAAAAAATATTTCTAACATTTTAAGATGAATCAGATGTATTGTGAGAAATGAGAAGTCATATATATATATATATATATATATATATATATATATATATATATATATATATATATATATATATATATATATATATATATATATATATATATATATATATATATATATATATATATATATATATATATATATATATATATATAATACTTAATTATATCAACCAAACGTGTAGAGAATACTAAACAACAAAAGCAACAACTTACACGTGTATGCATGGCAAAATTTCATCTCTCAAATAAAATAACATAAATACAATACTTGTGACAAAAAGAGAAGTGTAGTTCTAATAAGTTGTTCATCTGACCAAGAGATATGGAAATTCTTCATCTGACCCACAGATTTGGAAATGCATCGTGCAGCGCATTGTTCCTTGGAAACTAAATTCATTGATTGGAAATTGTATCATCCAACAATGCATGTGTTTCAATTGAACTTTTCGTCTTTTCTCTCTCTCTCTCTCTCTCTCTCTCTCTCTCTCTCTCTCTCTCTCTCTCTCTCTCTCTCTCTCTCTCTCTCTCTCTCTCTCTCTCTCTCTCTCTCTCTCTCTCACACACACACACACACACACACACATTCTCTTGCTTTGCTCACATCGATAACCCTAAGGGCGTCGTCGCCGTTTACAAAACTTTCACCTTTCTACTTCAACTGAAACCACCCAACCGGAAACCGGAGTAATGAGTGGTAGAAGAAAACCCTACAATGGTTGGATTTCAGACGATAGCGTGTCAAGCATTAGTTCAGTAACTGATTTCCCTTGTTTTTCATCTTATTTTAATTGTATTGTGTATTTTTTGATATCTCATTTGATGATGCTTTAGGGTTCCTGATTTGTGTTTGTTTATGTTATAATTTAGAGTAACTTTTAGGAATTGAGTGGTATGGAGATTTCAAACTTTATAATTTTGGTTGATGGTTAGGGTTCATTGATAGAGTAAATTCATAAATATCATTGCACGATTATTTTGATCATTGATATAATCAGTTATAGTCAATCAGGGGACTATGGAATTATGGTTTAAAAATGTAAATCGTTAAGTATTTATGTTGATGTATATAATATGTGGTGTTATTGGTGTTTATGAATCATGCATAATGTTGTAACAGACTTAGCACTGTTATTTCAATGGGGAAGTAGCCATGGATGTAATTCGGGTGTTGTACCCCCAAAATTTTCCGTCTCATTTT